ACGTCTCAAAGTATTTTATTTTTAGTTTTTTTTTTTATGCAAGTTGTATGAATATGAAATTTGGTATGTGTTATCTTCTCATTGGGGCGCACCTATAAAAAATATTAAAAATAATTTTTTGATGAAATATAATGACCAAAATACCCCTTGAAACTTTTAAGGGTATTTTGGTCATTTTATTGAAAATATATTTTTTATATTTTTTGTTGGTGCAAGTTTAATAGAGGAATGGACGTCCAAATTTTGGTGTCAAAATAGTTTATGTAAAAGAAAATTAAATATAAAATAGTGTAGAGACGTGACATTGTGATTGGGGCAATCTTAACCCTCCATTCAAAATTGATGGTTGGATAAGGGGGAAGATAGAACTTCTATACTGTAGGGGAAGCATAGAAAGCTTGCCTTTGTATTTTATATATATATATATACCTTTTATTATTATTATTATTTTAACAAGTCGAGTTACGAGTAGTAAAATTCGGTTTTTCAAAAACTAAAAATAGTCAGTTTCGTTTTTTTTTAAAAAAAATGTTATGAAGTTGAAAAAACAAACCTCTGAATAGTAACAAAATTTTAAGTATTTTCATAATAACGAGAAATATAAAGGATATTTACATAATTGTCCTTTATAAATTTTCCATACTGCAAAACAAATACCATATTCTCAAGCCAACAAACCACATTTAACCTCAACATAGAACACCAATGGGCCTCATCTCATAGTAAAAATTCTTTCAAAGTCATAGAAGTCACACTACATTCCTCCAAAAAAAATAGAAATGCCCATATTTTAGGTAACAAACCATATTTAATCTCCCCATAAAGCGCTAATGGGCCTCATCTCTTAGTAAACACAAGTATTTAAGGTTATAGTCATCCTTACAAGAGCTCAATGTCGATTTAAGCAAACAACTAGACCAAAGTATAACATTACCTTCTCTACTTTTCTACTCCATTTCAAGCCCTAAAAATGTGTATGTTGAAAGTGTCATTCGTTGCCCTAGAGAGCGCAAACACACATGTATCACCTTCTTTCAAATTGTTATCTATCGTGAATTTTTTCCACCCACTGCTAATTCTAATAACTCCCCCGGTCCTTGTCATCTTTGCAGGCCATGAATTTTTCTCTTTTGGAACTTGGAGTGTGATATTCTGGTTCTTTGTCAAGGCCTTCAAAGTTAAGAATTTTTGTGGAATAGTTTGGACATGCCCAAAGACAAGCAACTTAACACCAAATTTGTTATAGAAAGAAAGGACAGAAAACGAAAAATAAACAGAAAAAGGAAATAAATTGCGGAATCATGAAATTTTGAAATAACCTAGTGTACTATGATATATGGTACTCCACAGTAGTATCCATTATCTGTTGCCACTGATGGACGGTTGGAGATTGACATAACAAGGGACATTTACCCTACTAAGTTTAACATCACCAACCATTCCTTTGTTAGAATGGGGTGTAGATATAGAGCCTGAGTACTAGATATAACATAGTCTACCATACTATGGTGTACTTTCCCAAAACAAACAATTATTGATTACCTTCAATAGCAGTCACATAAATGCAAGAATTTTTCCTTTTTTTAATTCATATACATACAAGATAATTCCTCCACACACATGCACAAATATCACAAATTGCTTGATTACCTTCTATAGCATTGTATAAAGATTATTCCTTCATTATTCTCAAAAAAAAAAAAACATGACTATTCCTCCACACATGCACAAATACCACAGATTGCTTGATTACCTTCCATAGCATTGTAACAAGACAATTCCTTCTTCATTCTCAAAAGAAAAAAAACATGACCATTCCTTCATGTAGGTACACACAAATTGATAGCACATTGAATGTTGGTTTTCCTTTTTTTTGGTGTAAAGGTAATTGATTTTGAATGCTGATTTTACTGTTTCCAAAACAGTAAAATTGAATCTTACATTCTACCAACAAGAATGATGGATGATCTTGAAGACAATTGTTTTCACTATGACATTAGAGTGCCCTTTATTTTCTCCTCTGATAAAACTGAAGGCATTTAAAAATCATAAGGAGAATACTCACTGTATTCAATGAGTTGAATACATTAAGAAGGCAAACATACTTCCAGTGAACCACAAGGATCCTCTTTCTTTGGTCACCTCACTACTAACCTAATTGACTCGTTAAGAGCCTATTGACCATTACTGTGCTTATAAAACATATACCAATATGATCTTGGTGAAGTTTGCAAGACCTCTAATGGAGGTAGCACCTTACTCTTCCACCAAATCAAAACTCTTTTTGGCAGCGAATCATTCATCGATCTCAAAACCAAATCCACACTACTTTAGTTCATGTGATTACCATAGGTTCAATCTCTAATAAGTTTACATTTTACCAACATTTCCTAGAATTTTCATATTTTTTTTTTTAACCAATCAGATGGTGGTAACAATAATTGTAATGATACCCAAGAAACCCATTTTGCCAATAATCTCAAACTAGCCTTTAGACTACATCTCTCTGCTCGTTGTTCCTGAAAAAATTCCCCAACCACTGTTTCCACGAGCATATTCTCCAATCCAAGAGAATGGTAATCTTGAATAGCAAAAGGCCAAGCTCCAAACAAATATATGTTAATCAGGTTTTCACTTTGACATATAGCAGAGAGCAGTAAAAAATTTGACACAACAAAGAACATGATATAAAAAGTCATATGATCGCGGCAAAACATTTTGTTTCAGTTTTAACATATAGTTAAGATTCACAAAATCTCCACAATAGTCACAATTCAAAAGATATTCATGGTTTGCATAATGTAGTTTGTAATGATAGATTATTATTCAAAATATAATCCTATAGACCTAATGGTTTTTTGTCCATGTCTTGATTAGGATTAGAAGATATTAAGACAGAAGATACTGTACATCGAAAAATTCATTGAACGAATTGGGTGAGTAGCTCATAAAATCCTCCTCTATGATGGAAGAGTTCATCTGAATTTGTCTGTGACTGAAAACAAAACTTGACATACATTCAAATACTTCTCTTATATTCAAGAAAATTTGGAAAGCCAACAAATTCCCAATCAATGTTTGAATAGAGTTGTTAAATTGTTTCCTTAAACTTTTTTTTTTCCCTCAATGAGTTGGGCATTAGCTTGTGTTTTATGGAAAGTCTCCTTAAATGTATTTTCTTTTACAAAGACACTTGAAGGAAGCAAAGTAACCTATCTAAGAGAAAAGGTACGGTGAGACTCCCTATCTCCTACTTGCAGTGGCACTGTTTGGCTCAATGCTCATCTTGAGTGATCAAGGCACGCACCTTTTATACCATAGCACATCATTGCAATCATGTTCTAGTGATTCACATGGCCTCTATTCCAGTTACAATTCATAGTACTATAGTAACTAATCGTAAGCCACGTTAGTGCCATAATCTTTAAGCAAACTTTCTTCTCATTAACTTCTTTTCTCAAAAATCAGTTTAATTTGAAGGGAACTAATAGACTGTCATATAGAACTTGAAAGGAATCTAAGACATTGTTTAGTTTTTTGTAGTTATGACATTCATATGTTCCATAGTAATATGGAAAC